GGATTGACTAAACACAGCTGGCCCGCTGGATGAACTGCTTACAATCATTTTCTGTGTGTTCTGTTGTGTAGTGACACTACCTATAGCTTTATCTAAAACTGTGACAGCTGTGGTACATGTGGAGTTAATGTCTGTGACTTTAACAGATGCAGACTGTAAAATTTGAGATCCTGTAACCTGAACTGTCTGGCTCTCTCCTGTAGCAGCTATTGGCTTGGCACAAAGAGCTACAGCAGGTTGTGGGGGACTGGTTTCCTTTTTCTTTGCAGCTTTAGTCCTTTTTGCTGCTGCTCTCTTCATATTCAAGGCTGTGCGAAGCCTCTTTGCTGAAGGCTTAGAGGTACTAACCACCAGCCCTGATGTGACTGGGACCTGTAGCTGTCGGGCAGGTAGTGCAAGTGTGGCTCCAGAGATGGATGCTGGAGCAGGAGGCTGCTGCTGCAACACTGATAATGGAGCAGGTGGAGGCTGACCATTGTTCTGACTAGAAATGTTAAGAGGAAGACCCTGAGAGATGCTCTGATTGAGACTGCTGAGGGCCCCTAAGCTGTTGAGAGCCACATTAGTAGTCGGTTCCTCACTGGTAGTGGGCTGGACTAGCTGCAATGTACTCTGGCCACCCTGGGAACTGGCCTTATCAGAAGTCTTCACAGGCTGCAAGGCAAACACCTGTCCATTCACAGTGATAGTCTGCGGGGTTGTAGGAACTGGTGGAGAAGATGATGTCTGGGTGGCCTGCGGAGGATGGCTCGCTTGAGGCTGAACAGGGCGAGGAAGAATGTGCACCAGCTGCTTTCCCCCTACACTTTGCAAGGATGGTGCAGACACCGAGGTGCTGGTCATGGGTATCTGAGTGGAAACAGTAGGGATAGCAGCAGGCACCATGCCAACTTGGGGATTCTGAGCAGAAGTTGCAGCCTGATTGGGTGCCTGGATGATTACAAAATGCTGACATGGTGTTTGACTTGTTATTTCCTCCCTCACAACTGGCTGGGTAGGGCAAGCACTGGCCTGCTGCAGGATTACAACACTTGGATTGTTTGTGTTCTGTGGTACTGTAACACCTGAAGCTGTTGCTCCACCTGGGTTGACTTGCAACACCTGCATGGTCTGAAGGAGAGGAAGCACGGTGGCCTGTGGCTGGGGTACCAGGGCTGGCTGAGGGAGGGGTTGAGGTTGTGGGATTATGGCTGGTTGAAGAAGAGTAGGCTGGGGCTGAGACACGACTGCAGGGTGGGCCACCACAGGTGGCTGCTGCACTATGGCTGATTGAGGAAGAACAGCACACTGAGGTTGGCATGCTAGGATAGGCTGAGGCTGTGTCTGGTTTAGGACTGCTGGCCGTATCTGGGGTGCTCTTTGAAACGGCTGCGCTTGAATGTGACCTGTAAGAGGTGCCTGCTGTACAGGCACCTGTGGTTGCATCTGTATTTGAATTGGGTGAACAGATGGTTTGCTGCCCATTGGACATACAGTCACCTGCTGGATAGGCTGGGTGGTGTTGCTGACTTCTGGAGTGGAAAGACTTTGGCAGACTGGCTGCACTGTGTTCCCTGCCATCTGCAGTGTTGTCCAGGTAGTCTGTGTGCTGCCTGCTGCCCCAGCCCTGAGAAGGGCTTGGCTGGTTGGGATAGCAGTGTAACTTGCAGTCCTTATGGTAGCGTCCTGCGTTACCCATGAGCAACCCTCTGAAGCTTTTGTAGGGTGGGTGGATGCAGGCAGAGCAGAGCCTTCAGTGGGGAGCTGTGAGGCTGAAGTAGCTGCTAAGGTGAGGGGCTGAGCTTGCTGAGGCATTGACGTGGATGCTGCAGGAATCTGGAGGGTGATGTAAGACACAGAAGGTGGCAGAGTGGGTGCCACAGTTGGTGCTTCAACCACACACTGCTCTATCATTCTCAGGCTGGGTGTAGACTGAGTGGGTGCTGCTGCTGACCCAGGGAGAAGTGCAGGGGTAGAAGAAGAGTTGTTAACATGCAGCAGGGCTCCATTAACCCTTAATCTGGCACTGGCCTCAGATGATGGCTGAATAATTAATGTTTCAGATGACTGTTTTCCTGGGCTAGTCTCCTTTCCTGCAGGGAATTTCCCATTGCCATTAGAACAAACAATTATCCCCTTTGGGAGCTGGTGAGTAGGGGGAACTTTTGCCACTTTAGCACAGCGTTGTTTGCCCTTCCAGTGGATAGTGGGATCTTCCAGAGGGTTAATGTCATTGGCTTTGAGGAGCTCAATATAGTGAGCACTCTCTCGCCTCAATTCCTCCAGCTGACGCCGCAGCCGACGGATTTCTTCTGCTGCAATGAGGTGTAGAGTTCATGACTTTAACCACACATAATCCATATTCACACTTAACTTGTAGGATACTCCAACTAAATTAGGAAGCTGGTGTGTACAATATTAAAATTTACCTTGGACTTTATCTCCTCCTTCCAGAAGCATTGTATCATTTTGTTTCTTCAGTTCAGTGATGTAACGAAAGGCCTGGTCCAGTATCATGTTCTTACTCTAAAAATAAAATCACATTTTTTTTCTATTAAAATATTTTGCTCTAATTTCACTATATTTAGGCAAACAGAAACACCAGATTGTCTCTTACCTGTTTAAGTGCTTGGGAACATGGCAAAAGATTACCAATGCGGTTAATCCCGGCATTAATCTTTTCTTTTCTGTGTCTTTCAACTAAAACAACAAAAAGACACAAAGTCATCAGAATTCATGTACATTTAAAGTAAACCCTACACAATAAATCTATGGTCATCTATGGTTTTTTTTACCTGCATTGTGAGATTCTTTGTTTTTCTTCTTTCTGCAAACAATAAAATAACGTTAAAAAAATTGAACAGTTCACATTTTAAACGACCACTTACGGAAATTATTTGACTGAACCGGAACAAACAGACTATATCTCAAAGATGTTTACTTGGGTTTACGGCCAGGTGTCTGAGTTTCAGTCATCTCTGGCATCCTGTCCTCACAGTTGCCTGTATGATAAGGTACCAGTCAACACATCAACAGCTGGACCTAAAATCCATTCCGTGCTCGTCCTGCTGCAAGCAAAACATAAAGCATCCGAACAGAGTATTGATTATAAATAAGAGCACTGTCAACACACCGCTGTGTATCAGCTGAGAAAAATAGTACAGATACACTAGTGATGAGCTCATACTGTTTCATACAATAGCAGATATAAAAGTATTAAATCTGTCAAGCTACACTCAGCCTCTACTACTACCAGATGCTAACAAGCTAGTGTAATTACCCTATCTTTACTCATTTAGATAAAAACACTTACCGACACGTTACAAAGTAATTAGAGTGTTACACGAAGTGATTAAACAGATCTTTCTCCTGGGCTTGTGTAACGATATCGGCAGCGAGCGATGTTCATATATTTAAACCTGCAAAGAAACCTAAGCAATTACCTGTTCAGCTAGCTTTCTGATAGCTAGCAGGCTAACAGCTATCTTAGCTTATCGACACCGACATGATTATTAAGCAGAACAACGCCAGTCGCTTCTCGGCCGTGCTCACACAAATGCTGCTTACAGAGAGTAGTTTTCACGAACCTTTAGCCTCGACATTTTGGAGACCGCTGTTCCTGTAAGAACTTTAAAAATTGGAGGCTAACTATTAGCTAGCAAAGCTTTCAACTCATCTCCCAAAACAATCTGAATAACCTAACTTAGTGCTGAAAGGGGCGGGCCGTACGCAGTCCTGAAAGCCAATAGCATTCCAGAGGTAGGAGGTTATATCCAATCACAACACCTATAAGCATCCAAGGAAGAGTTTAAGGCAGAGGGAGACATAAATCATACACACACACACACACACACACACACACACAAAACCCAATTTCTATACTAAATATTCATAATGTCAAAACATAACACAACTTTTACTGCAAATAGTAATTTATTCATTTAGACGTTAAAAAGTCTTACAATATAGAGCTCCAGAAAAGATAAAATTCTCCAAAGAAATGAAAACATGCGTATACTACAGTGGAGAGGACACAACTCTCCTTGCATGCAGAGGTGTCAGAGCTTCCTCTGGGTAATACACTGTTAAGAGATCATAGCAAAACTCCAAAACTTTCAGCTGAAAGTGTGTGTAATCACTGAAGCTCACTGTGGCAGGAAGTTTGAGAAGACCAATGTCATAAGATGGCTACATAAGGTGCCAAAGGTGTTTAAGGTATGTCTCAAAACACTTGTATATATTTAGAAACAAGCATCCACAAACACCTCCACCATACTACTGAAAATAATGCCCAAATCCAAATCGATCTGATGTTATTCATAACACATTCAATACATTTGTTTGGTTCTCTCGTTCCTTTATATTTTCACTCTTTGTGATAAACCCAGGAGAACCTCTGAACCATTTGCCATCTCAGTGTGAAAAATAAAAATAACAGACTAGTTGAAGGGGGATTTAAATAACAGCCTGGAAATATTTAAAAATTAAAAGGTACTGAACGCATCTTCCCACTGCCACAAAACCGTCAAGCTTTTCCCCTTTCTCCTGTACTGAGGGGACGCATTTCTGCCCCCCCCCGGACACAACAAACCGGTCAGACTCATTTCTCATGAGTCCAAAGATTCAGGTGGTGCAGGAATAGAGCTTTGTCTGTTCCACATATCTCAAGTATCACTCCAAGCTGACCACCTGGGACTGCATTTGTGTCGGGGGATGGTCTTTCAAGCACTTTTTCCCTTTACTTTTCCAAACCAACTGATTTCCTTTGATCAACAGCATAGATATGTCCCCTCCAGCTTTAATAACCGCATTTAAAAAACAAAACAAAAAAAACAAACAAAAAAACAACAATGTGATTTGAAAACACCAAATCTTTCCCCCTCCACCATGTCAACTGTCAGAAGTTGGTAACTTTGTCAACAGGAGCACTATAGGATGCTTAGCTTTTTGTCATTGTCAATTAACAGTATGAAGAGAATTTGAAAAAAAAAGAAAAAAAACAACAACAACAGGGGACCCCCTTGTGAAATAAATGCAGCAACTTTTATGCTTGAAATTTGTTTTCTCTTTTTAGCGTCCTTTGAAGAAAGTGTTGAATCCTGGGGCATTTGTCACAGTTCTGTTTCTGTGGAGGCGGCCACATTAGTGCCTTTTCCGAACGCTGTGCCCCTACTCTGACTTCTGAAGCTCTCCACTGGGCAGTGCACAAGGACTGCGCAGGCTCTTTTGCAACACATGGGCATCTGCAGGCTCTATCCTCTTGTAGTAGTTCTTCTTTGTCTCAATAATCTCAAAGCCAAACTTCTGGTAAAAGTCAATGGCCGACTCATTGCTGATCTGCACATGACTGTAGAGTGGGAAAATACAAATGCATTAACAGGCAGCTCATCTGGAAAATCAGCCAAAAATAATTCTTGTATGCAGATAAGTTTTCATGCAAATTCTGCAAACACTCACAGGTAAATATTATCAAAAGTTCCATCCTTCTCGCAGATGTTTAGCACATGATTAAGCATCTTTGTACCTGGCGTAAAGGTAAAAACAAAATCACCAATTGCACAACAGCCTCTTCTTGAGGTCCTCATAACTTTCAAGAAACAGTATCAAACAGTCTAGTCTATCATACATCTCATAGAGGATGACAATTGCTCCTTTTATTAATTTTGTTCTTTTGTAAGGTGACCTTGGCTTTTTGAAAGGTGCCCTCAAATAAAATGTATTATTATTGTAACTTCCGTTATCAAACTAATGACAGTAGAGCTTCTATTCATCTGAATCACACATAAGGATAATTAATGATAGTGGGGAAGAAAAAAAAAGTTTCTTCTTCAGGAATCAATAACAGAAACAATCTACTACTACTTACCAATTCCAAGTCTACGGTAGGGTGCTAGACAGCCAAGTGTCATGATGTACAGTCTCTTCTGGTTCTGAGAGTGGTCCACTCTGCAGCACACAGCACCCACTGCAATGTCATTGAAGTACGCTGCAAAAAACCAAAACAAAACATGATGCTGAAAGATCAAATACCTCTAAAAGCCACATTTCTACATTTCATTTGCCATGACTGAAAATCAAGCTGTTAAAGTGCATGCAAACTGAATTCCACCAGTCGCTTTCCTCTTTAACGCATCAATGTCATCACATACAGTCATAATCAGGTGTCACCCTAACTGAAGTTGTCTAGGTGTAAGTATTGTGATGTCTTACCTAGCTTTGCAAGCTCTCCAACTTCCAGCACATCTTTGTAAAACTTGTCGTTGTAGCTGACGGGGAAGATGACCTGGTTGAGGCGTTTCAGCTGCTTAATGTTGTGGGGCGTAACGTCCCCCAGCTCGATCCGGCTACTGGAACAAGAGCAAAACGGTCAAATGGCTGACAACAGGTAAACCATTTCATTTAACATTATATGAACCAAAATACAATAAAGACTAATAAACTGACATCTTACAAGCCTTCTATCCTTTATATTTGTTTATAAGCACAGTTCTTTCAGTCTATACACTCAATATTTGAGTAAACACTTTTACTATCAAAGCTCAAAGATGAATTACACTTTGACTATCAAAGCTCAAAGATGAATTACGCAGATAGTTGTCTACTTTGAGTACTGATTAAATCATCTCTCATGAACTGCGTGATTTCGTCCCAAAAGCTATAACACTGCTGAACTGAACCTGTTATCAACTCTTGTATAGCTTAAATCAACATGTCCCCTCATAATCACACACATACATTTACATAATCTACTACTAACAGTAATTCTTTGGACGAATGCCGCGCTTAGAAATAAATTTAAACAACACCTGCAGCTTGTGCTTTTTATAACTCTTTACTTAAAAATGAAACTTTTCTACCATCAAAATTGATTAATATTCTCCTTTAAATATCTATAGGATGACCAGGGGACATGGCTGGATTTGTGTAACTAGTAAATGACCCACACGTAGCAGTCCACTCGCCTCAGTGAGAGGTTCACTGTGGTATTTATAGGACGACTACACATCCAAGAACTGGTGGAGGTCACGTGTGTTGTCCTTAAGCATGTACAATGAGATCGGTGAAACCCTAAGTATACAATTAATACACTTCAGCCTTTATTGCCCTCGTGGAATAAGAGAATTTATTCAGAAATGTCCAGAAGCATCATTGATAGTGTGTTACTTTGGCAGATCAAGTTACACTGAGTCAGCTGGCACAAAAGCTAAAGTTGCTGTCATGTGTGACATTAAAATGGTAACTTTTTTGCCCAACGTGAGATAGCTGCGTCTAAGACTTTCGACAAAACTGGTATGACTCTGTGCAGGTAGCTGAGGTTCGCGGCAAATACCAAAAATAATCAGAGCTATGATTAGCTTAGCTAAACTGGCTTTACTGACTCAGCTCTCCACTAGCAGCGAGCTAGTTAGCTTAGCTTGTACGCGACCTACACAAACCGACAAGCGGCTAAAGTTAACGACAACAACTAAGACAGCACCACTTCAGTGACGGTGCTGTCCTTTATATAGTGGCCATGAACCTAAATAAAAGTCGTTTCGCAAGCTAGCTAGCCTCGCCGTCACCTCCCCGCCTCCTCCTGTAGGAAAAAAACAGACATGAAAAACTTTACTTGTGCTAAGCTACGTATTCGTGACCCAAAAGTTCACACTCACCCTTTCATTTTAAAGAGATGATATCCCTTATTTTCGAAGAGTATGAACTCTGAAGTTGTTTCGGGTAAAAGGTGAGAAACTGGAAAGAGTTGGGGTCGGGGATGCCTCCCGTTTTACCCTCCACATGTAGCTAGTTACGATGGTTGCAGTTAGCTTAGCCGCCACACTCCTTCCACGACTGTGTGGAGACGGACTGTCAACCCTGACCTCCGCATGCGCACACGCGCCTCTAATGTTAGATATGAGACTTTTTGACCTGGATTTGGACTCTCAGGCTCTTTTCCAGCCAAATTAAGACATTTAAATAACGGTTTATGTGTTGAAAACATCCTGGTTCTCAGTCCTAATTATATAGGGCTCGTATTCGTCTCGCATTATTTAAGGGGACCTTACTTCTGGTGTGACATTGAGGCGTGTGAAATGCATTTGTCTGACCTCCGAAAGCAAGCATTATATTTTTTGGGGAAAAGCGCCTATGTCTTCGCCCCAGAACTGGATTACTACTACTCGATGAAATCTACCGTTTTAGTTTTCTAAATATATTACTGAAATTATTTTTTATATTTATCTACTCATAAAAAAGGAAATCCGAAATTAGTTTATATATGTAATACAGTGTTGGTCATATGGATGCTGAGATTTTCTGTTACACAACGAAAGCGAAAGAAAAACCCATGAGCCCTGTAGTTCTGTAAATTTGTAGTTTGGAGAAACTACCCCAATAAATACACCCCCCAATAAAAAAATAAAAAAAATAAAAAAAACAAACAAACAAACAAACTGGGGGTATGTATACATATTTAAATAAATGTATTTTATCAAAATTACATTTTCATCGTTTACTCCTAAACCACCCGAAAGATAAACCGGGAGTTGTGAAAGCACCTCCATTTTGGCTCAACCGTTGCTGAAAAGATATCAAACAACATGAGAGATAAGCTGCCGTGGCTCATTATGATCTATGTAATGTAGATAGGTTGTTTATCGTTGCAGAACTTACATCACTGTGGGTTTACGCTCGCTCACATAAGGTGTACTTAAAAGTTTACGTAGTCTCCCATAAAACCAATTTACCACAAAGGTGAAAACATAATTTAACACAAGGGTTTACAACAACAATATGAGAAGCTATGAGCTCGGAGTCGTGCTTTATGCTAAGTAGGTTAAATGACCACAAATATCCACCAGTTAGAGATCTTTCCGGTAGTCCAGGGGAGGATCCAAAATGGCGCCAGTTGCCGCTAGCCCGCAGTAAAAGCAAGCGGTGAGTGAATGAAGTCAGCTGATCTCGCTGTCACGCTCCGCAGCAGCCAGCGTTCCTCTCTCGAACCAAGACAGTAAACGGACACTTCACAGCCACACGGTAAATATCCCGTTTTTCATTTTAACGTCGTTTTAATATTACGAAGTATATTTGGATGCGTGTGTACAGTGAAACCGTTTAGCAATCCCTATGCAGCAGAATAGTAGAGACAGCATTTTTTCCACCCAGGCCGACAAACCAGTCTTGCTATCGTTTTCACAACACCTAATCACACACACAGCTAGCTAACCTTGTTGTTAACGTAAGGACAAAATATGGCCGAGTGGAAATTACAAACATTATTTTTTCCGGCTTTATTATCCGGATTTCAGACTCTTCCTGTTGTGGCTAAACAACTGGCTAGTTTATAGTTTCGAATATTGTGCACTCGATCAGCAGCGTTACCTGCGTCCATGGGACTTTCACTTAACATCTGCATGTCAGGATGCTTTGCAGAATCACCTCACTTACATGTAATATTACCGAGCCTGTTTTTACCCAGACAACATCTCATACAGGTCAGAAGGGACACTCGGGTTAAACTCACTACAGACTCCTCAATTGCTGTCTGATAAGCTGTTTTATCGGTGTAACATTTGGTCCCAACAGGAGGCTTGCCGTCAATTGTTGCCCACATTAGTATATTAATGCTGTGGTAAATTGTCTTTAACCTCCTAGGACCTGGCGTCCACATATGTGGACATCACATTTTGGGCTATTTAGACCAAAATACGAAATTTTGCTCTACGAGGGCCTGATATCCACTTACAAGGACATTATACAGCTACTGTTTTATCAAAATTCTAAACGAATATCCTCATATGTGGCTCTTATTTTTCTTAAAAACAAAAATAAGGTTTAAAAAAAATCTGGTAATTCTTTGTTTTTACATTCATCGCGCCCCAATATGCCCAAATATCAAAGAGAAATTAAATATGCATGCCGTGTAAGAGTTCGGGTCTTAGGAGGTTAATATGTGAAGTACTGCAGTCAGGTGGGAGAAAATCTCCAGAGTTTCCACATAGACAGTTATGATTTTGACTTCCCAGTTTTTCACCATGCTGGTGTTCCACTTCCTTAAAGAGACTCATCATCTGAGGGCAGCCAGTCATGTGCCAGGATCATATGACTTGGTGTCATGTAGAATACTTTTTCCATAGCTGTTGTATCTGGAAGTTATGAAAAAGTGCTACTCTGTGGGTTTATTACATACAGAAGTTAATTATTCAAATAAATATTATTGTGCTGCTTTAAAAGAAGACATATTTGATGTTTTATGTGTAATTCTTTTGTTATTTATTGTGATGTTATTAATCAAATGGGCAGAGGCTTGCCTCTGGTACACTAACAGGTTTTCCAGGTGAGCTCCCTGGATGATACCAGTATTATCCAGTTAAAACCAGTAAATTTAGTCTGGTGTTTTTGAGCAGTGAAGCCTTCCTATGTATATCTCTCTTGCAGTTCTTGCTTTAATCAATAGGTGGAGCTGCTTTCTTCCAGCACAGATGGCCAAGCAGCCTAGCGTGAGCAGGAAGATCCGTGCATCAGTAGGAAAGGCAATAAAGGACATAGATGTAGAAAGATGGAAAGAAAGGTGGGGGGGCAGAAAAAGAAATCCACAATATAGGCATATTTTCTTGATGTAACTGCAAGTAATGAATATATTATCTAGCAGATAAAGCTGATCTTGAATGTGTGCAGAGCATCTGCAGGCAGCACTTTGTGAGGATGGGTCTGTGTCACGACTCATGGCAGCTTGTGCTTGTGTTACAGCTGCATGTGGCTGAGTTGTGAGGTATAAATATAGCAGAAAAAGGAACAGCCTGATGTGGGAAAGATGCACCCTATTCTTCATATGAAATGAAAAAAAAAAAGAGGATGCAGTGGGATCCCCCACTAATGTTAGCCGGATGTGCCACACTGACTGACTGTAGTAGGCCAGTGGACTGGCTGGTGAGGTGGCCTACTTCTGCCTCTGATGCTGAGACTGCAGCAACACAAGGAGCCCTGAGCAGTGATGCTGTGCATTCTTCAAGGTTTCCATGGTTATTACAGGGGGAGACAATATAGAGTAGTCAGCATAATGCCAGGAAAACATTTAAATGAACTCATAATGAGAATATAAATTTGTCCAATTCTGGTCAAAAGTCCACATTCATATATCCATTTGCTTACCCACTCAGCCTGTACAAGTTGCCAGTTCATCACAGAGGTATTCAAATTCATTTGAATACACAGAATGTCTATGTGTTATAAGAAAAACGAAACATTTTTTGAGAGCTGCTGTGAGTTTTTGAATCAGCACATTAAAGGTGGCTTTTGTAATTACCGCCTTTGAACTTTCAGCACCGGTGGTCACCGTTTCACTAGTAATTACGTTGAAATGTTTTCAGATGTGTGCTGGTGTTCTTTTAACTTTCAGTATTTCTTTTTACCTCTCCTATTTCCTCATAAGGTTTTGGTTTTACCCATCCAGTCACTCTAAACATGAACGTTTCTTTTTACGTGGTTAAATAAGGGTTCGACTGACCTGGAAAAATACTTCCCAGCTGAATTCCCATTTACTTGCTGCTGGGCGGGCACCATGGGCACCTAACTTTGTGAATGCAATAACTTGAAAATGAGAAGTTTCAAATTGATACTTATAAAAATAATCAAACGCGGATTATCTTTGTCCTCAGATGGTAACCGGGGTGCTCTCCCTGAGGCTGGTTCTGCTGGAGGTTTCTTCCTGTTAAAAGGGAGTTTTTCCTTCCCGCTGTTGCCAAAGTGCTTGCTCATAGGGGGTCATAGGATTGTTGGGGGTTTCTCTTTATTATTGCAGAGTCTTTAGGTTACAGTATAAATTGCCTTGAGGCAACTGTTGTTGTGATTTGGTGCTATATAAGTAAAATTGAATTGAACTCTCGTAGGGGCTTTATGCTGAAAATGAACTAATTTGTCATTTTAAATTTGTCACAAAAAGGGAAGTTGTTGTCAGTAACAGCTGCTTATGTTTCTTTTCTTCCAGTCTGACTAATAAACGTGAAGATGGACATGTCCAAGCTGCCCAAGATCAGGGATGAGGAGAGGGAGAGCCAGTTTGGATACGTTCATGGAGTCTCTGGACCAGGTCGGTCACCACATACTCCTTATGAAACTCCTCCTTCATATTTAACACATTATTACCACTTTCCAGAAAAAACTGAGGAGGTGTAATGACACAAACACATTTAACCACATCTGTATTTCTCAGTCTTGGTCACAATAATAAGGTTTTGTGAGCATTATTTTATCCTACAAAGGCATAACAACTTTGCTTTTACAACAAACAGTGAAATTCATTTCAGTCAAACAAAAAGCAACCACTCTTATGATTACATCTCATCTGTGCTTCTAGTGGTGACAGCGACGGCCATGGCAGGAGCAGCCATGTATGAGCTGGTCCGTGTCGGCCACAGCGAGCTGGTG